CTTCTCTGCCTCTGCACCTTCTGCCTTCCTTTCTTTCTTGGCCTTCTTCTCCTTCTTTGCTTCGGAACTGTCAGCTTTGGCAGCGCTCTTCTCGCTCTTCGCCTCCTCTTCCTTTGGTGTAGCTGCCTCTGCGGTCTTTTCACCTTTCTCTCCTTTGCTATCATTGCCCTCTTTCTTATTGACTTCCTTTGCTTCTGCACCTTCTGCCTTCTGTGCTTTCTTCTCCTTTTTCTCCTTCTTCTTTGCTTCGGAACTACCATCTTTGGCAGCAATCTTCTCATCCTTCCTAGTCGTTGTAGCATTTGCCACAGCTGTGCTGCTTGTGGACTGCGACTTATCTTTCAGTTCTACTTCAACCTCATCTCCCCCAGCCTCACCCTCAGTCTCAACCTTACCTTCTTTCTTTTTGGGCTTCACTTTAGCTTTGTTCTGAACCTTCCACGAGGTATGCATGTGAATTGTAATTGGATGGATCGAGGTTTGTGAAACAAAACTACAGGCTCTAGATGTCCGCCTCAGCTGGTGTTTCTTTCTCAAGTGCCATGGCTTTAGTCTTGGCCATGTAGGTCCTGCCAGCTTTTGATATATAGGCAACACGATGTGATAGGTCAAGAAACATGGGTCCTCTACGAACTCCAGCCAGATCCAGGGAAATGACAAAATGCCAAAAATTGATCCCCTGGTGACACGAAATGACACGCATCCATTTTGATATATGATATATATCAAATGACCCTTTTGATGTCTAAGTGACCCTTTTGATATCTAAGTGACCATTTTGATATCTAAGTGACCTATATCAAAAGGGTCACTTATGACATTGTGACACGCAAATGACACGGATTGACACGCACCTTTTTCAGCGTTTCTTCGATTGTGTGATGTTCAGGTCAATATATGCCAGTGGTTGATTTTGAGAAAGGATTTGATATATATGAATCGATCTTAGATACAAAATAATGGTTTGATATATTCCCTCGAGATCTGTACGATAGTTTTGATGCTTGACCAGCCCAGCACATACCCGTGTCCAAGTCACGTGTGCAGGTACACGCTTGGCAAATGGGTGACTTGGCCGCTGGTTCGTGATCAGGCTTGCGTCTGAACGGGTGCCAGTCGACCTTTTGCCACCATACCGATTAATTAGAACTTGGGATCGAGGTTTCGGAACTGGTTATATGGTTCGAACCAGATCTCTATAGCGGCTAGCGCATGAATAGTATCGATATATACATATTTATGAAACACCACATCGCAGAACTGGTCCGGACCTATGCCGTCCGCCACGCAGCATACTTTCTGCCCTTGATGATGTCATCTAGGCAGCCAGCATCATCATAATCTGGGTCCCCTTCATCGATAGTGATCTCCTCAAGGCACAAAAACTGAATATGATGCAACCTGCTGGAATGCGAAAAGGCTTTACTATATATATATATATATCGATCGATCATGCTTTCAGCTTAGATTCTGGGTTGGGTTCAGGTGAACCATGTGGTGCAATGAGAAGAGACACGGCCAAACCAAATTGAAGCGGGTAGTTGGCTGAAGTCTTCAGCTGCTTGGCCTTTCCATTGATGGCCTTCTTGCCATTCCTGGTGACAATGTCCACGAGGCTGTGCTCACCATAGGTCCTGCATTGTTGATAAAAGTGCACCCAATGGGTTGGAGATTGGAGAACATCCTCGAAGTTTATAGCAGGTGTCGGGACTGTGTGCTACTTATATATAAATTTGACACCTCAAGTGATGCCGACTGCTACTGTTGTGGGGACTTGTGGCACAACAAAACGGAATGGCCTGCAATAATGTCCACTTCACTTCACCTCTTTTGATAAATTAAGAAAGCCAATGTGTGGCAAGTGCCAGCAACCACTCTACATGAATATATGTCCTAATATGGCATGTCTGAAGAGCCCAATCCTGGCCAAATATTCCTTGAGACTCTTCAAGTCGATCGCCCGGTCGAGGGAGATGAAGTTGTCCAGCGTGCTCCAAAGACTCAGCTGTTTTTTTCAATGTTTTTCACACGGGTGGCGCACCATGGATTTTTAGGACACTGCACATGCACATGTGCACAGGCCTTCGCACCAAAACGTGTTCACATGCAGTGTGTCTTGCGCAGCCAAAGTTACATTGTTGGTTTCAAAGAGGGAGCCCCATAAGCCCCCATGTGAATGGCCAGCCTCCTGCACGCAGAAGGTCATTACTTTCAACATGTACCCCTTTAAAAATACCAGCGCTGTTAAACGCGATAAAGGCTTCGTAGCTACTAGGTTCCAGCAGGCCTGCATTTCGCCCACAAAAGGAATCTCCGCATAGGTGGCCATACAAACATAACCTTGAGCTAGGAAGTTCAAGTCTGATCTGCATGCTCATGGCATGCGTTTGAGTGCGGTCCAAGTCACACTGGACGCAGGTTGTTCTACAAGAAGTCGAACACCCCGTTTGACAGCAAAGTACATCCTGAGATATGTCGATCCCAAAATGGTACCATATGATCTTTCAGCATGTGCCGTTCTTGTTCCGAAGGCATGCAAACATACACGAACACACCAATGAGCTGAGTTGCACATACATCATTCTTCTGACAAAGATATTGGCTAGCAATACGCAACGGGAAGTGGGATCTCCGTTTGGGTTTGTCCACGACCTACCAGTCACAGAAGAACTGAGAAATATCCATGGCCCACATGGCGGAGCACATACAAGCACACCCCCAGGGCGAGTGTTCCACACCTCACTTGAGTTTTCATACGAACAGCTGGTCAAATCACAAGACACATCGTGACTCATAACAGTTCCACCAAGAAGCAGCTGCCAACACAGCTATAAACCCCACGGTTCTGAGGAGGTTGTGATTTTTGGAGTATATCACCTTAAAACGATTCATTTGATTTCCATGAAACTGCGCGACATGCTTTTTGATCGCTTCCAAAATTAAATTGGCCAGGTCACATCAAATTCTTTTCCTTGATATCCTGACATCTTCATCGCCTTTGACAGGTTAGCCTTGCCAGCGCAAAGCTCCACCTCAGGAGATGAAACGGGAGCAGGGCTGATGGTTGTAAACTAGACACACAAAGAGCATGCACATGTATGTAGTGCGTGTTTAACCAGGGGGGCAAAGTCGTTGGGTTGAGAAGGGAGAACGAGCTGGGCGAGGAAGGCAGTTGCGACCAACAAATTGCTAGCCTTCATAGTGCCAAGTGTTGTCACCTGACTTTAAGTGTTCCTCTGAGCCACCTCACAGGATGCTGCATGCAGATGTGGCATAAAAAGCAACCAAGGGCAACTGGAATTGCAGCTTGATGTCAATTTTATAGTTCGAGTTTGTGGTATCGCTTGACTTCCAAAAGGCACGTTTGAAAGCAGTGAACTTGTGTTCCCAACTGCGGATGAGTCTTCAAGAAAGTTTCCCGAGGCTGCTGGCTACAGCAGTCAAATTGATCAAAAGTCAACCATGCCAGCTGCTGTCTATAGAGATTAGGAATGCACGGCAGGTCTCAAAACAATACATGTGTTTCCAACAACTGGTGTGACAGCGGCATGATTGAAGCACCACAGCCTTGCATCGCAAGGCCAACTCCCCAAAAGAAACCTAGCAGGCAGCAATAGCGTTGAAGTATTGTACATTGAAGGCCTTAAAGGCTAGTAGAACCTTTGTGGGTCTATGAGGTTCCCTCAGTTGCCAGGCTTCTTTTTATGACGAGCAGTTCGACCATCCATGGATTTGGTCCTTTTGAACCCCCCTTTGTTAGCTGCACTCGTCAAGGAATAATGCTTAGTACCATCAGGGGCTATAAAAACCTTGTACTCTTGCCCCATCAATTTCCCACTCACCCGCTTCCGGGTTTCAATCTTCCAGCCATCCTGGCCAGTAGCAC